ACACACATACAGTTCCCCAGAGATAGCCCCAGACAGTTCCTGTCCCCACCTCCTCTCTCTTGTCCCTGGGCATGCCCTGCCCTGGGAGTGAGCCCCCCTGCATGTGGCGTACTCGAAGCCTGCCCCCCCTCCCCGCAGGACCAGCTCCAGCATAAGATCATGTGCCCCGGCCCTGTCACCTGCCTGACCACATCACCCGATGGCCTCTACGTCCTGGTGGGCATTGAGGAAAGCATACACCTCTGGGAGGTGAGGAGCCCGCCGCCGCCCAGGCTTGGGGGTCTTCCTGGGGATCCAGGTCGCATGCTGCCCACCCTCCCTCGGAGATCCAGAGCGCGCTGGCTGTGGGAGCCCTGCAGTGGGCTTTTATTTTCTGCCATCGAGTCCACGCTAAGTCATAGCGACCCCGTGGGTTTCCGAGACTGCAACTGTAGATGGGGGTAGAAAACCCAGTCTGCCTCCCACACATCTGCCGCTGCTGCTCCCGTGCTGGCGGCCCAGCTTGTAACCATGTAACCCGGGGCCCAGCTGCTGGGGGCATAGGGTCTCGGGTGGGAGCCCAGAACCCAAAAGCTGGGATGGGGTCATCCAGGCCCCAGGAGGAAGACCACGGAAAGAAGCATGGTGATGCCCCCCCCAGGTGGCCGCCAGCCTTGCAGGTGGGCTTGGGCACAGTGGGCTCCCTGTTTCTGCTGGCATTTCTGAGCGGCAGCCGCTGTGAGCACGAAAGGGACCCCTCTCCAGGCGCCCCGACAGCCCCTTGAGGGACTGCGCCTCTTGGATCCGCCTTCCCATGGAATCATGCCTGCGCGCTTGCACACGGGGGTGACCAAGATCCATCCGCCCCAGCCCCACTTTGCATTCATTTTGTGCACGTGTGCGCCTCTCAATGCCTAGATACAATGGCTTAATCCTCCGCAGCCTTGGCACCTGGCTGCCCGGGTCAGAAGCATGTCCCCTGCTTGGCTGCATCGTCCCCTTCGCCCCCAGGATAGCAGTGTTTCTCACCTCTCCTCCCAGGGGCTCCCCCATAACCCCCTCCCTTGGGGCCTGGCCAGCATCCCCTCATGCTCCCGAGCAGTGCCCAGCCGGGCGGTGAGCTTGTGGGTGGGCACTGGAGAATGACCCATAGGGACACCCCCCACCCCACCCCCAGGTCTGCACAGGGAACTTGCTGTGCCTGCTCAGCCGGCACTACCAGGACGTGGTATGCCTGCGCTTCACGGATGACGGCAGTCACTTCATCTCGGGGGGCAAGGACTGTCTGGCGCTGGCCTGGAGCCTCTGCAGGTAGACTTCACCCAGGACCGGGGTGGCAGCCCCTCGGGAAGGCAGGGCGGACTGGACTGAGCGCACCTCCCCTACAGCGTGCTGCAGGCAGACCCATCCCGGATCCCCGCCCCCCGGCACGTCTGGTCCCAGCACACCCTGCCCATCACAGACCTGCACTGTGGCCTCGGGGGTGCGCAGGCCCGGGTGGCTACTGCCTCGCTGGATCAGACGGCGAAGGTGGGTTGAGCCCCGGCCCCGCGCACCTCACACCCATACGGGCAGCACCCCCAGGCAGCTTCAGATCCCCGAGCTGCCCCAGAGGCAGGCGCTGAAGCTGATCCCGCAGGCCTGGCCGGCCTTTCAGCACCACGGGGAGGGAGACCTGGGGGTCCCAAAGCTCTGAGTGCTGGCCCGACCTGGCCCCCACCTGCCCTCCTGCCGTGCCCCCTGCACCCCCAGCTCTGGGCACTGTCGTCGGGCGAACTGCTGCTGTCCGTACTCTTCGACGTGGCCATCACGGCCGTGGCCCTGGACCTGGCCGAGCACTACATGTGCTGTGGAGGCAGTGACGGCCACATCTTCCAAGTGGACCTG